CTGCAAAGAATGACAACCACCGCGCCATTCGTTGTGAAAGGTGCAAACTTTTTACTGCCGTGCGTAATGACGCATGGTCAGTGTAAACAATGAAGGGTCTATCTCCTAATAGATAGACTCTGAACTTCGCGAGTGCATACTTCATGGCAAGGAGTTCCTTGTCATGCACTGGATAGTTCCGCTCAGCTGGTTGCAGCTGACGCGACTGATAACAGACGACGCGTTCAACCCTTCAAGATCGTACTGCATTAATGCACAGCCGATTGCGAAATCGCTGGCATCACAGACCACATGAAATGGCCTGTCCTGATCGGCTATTGCTAGGACTGGGGATTGTATCAAGCTCTGCTTGATACCATCAAAGGAGCGCTGACATTCAGCGTTCCATAACCACCTCTCGTTCTTTTTCAACAAACGAGAGAAGTGCACAGTCATCTCGGCGTAATTGCGTGAATACTTATGCAAATACGCCGCTAGCCCAAGGAATTTTCGAAGACCTTTGACATCAACCGGCACAGGCCAGTCGGTGATCGCCTTGATCTTTTCGGGATCAGGACGTGCACCGTTCTTACCAACGATGCACCCAAGAAGTCGTATTTCGCTTGCTGCAAACATACACTTCTTGAGTTTGCATACAATTGATGCTTTCGCATGATTGTAAGAACCTGTCGGACGTGGTACCTGTGAACCTCAACATCCGACTTTCCATCCATAGCCCGACAATGGATGAATACGTCATCGAAATAACTTGGCGCCAATTCTCGTACTGGTCTCAACAGATGTGATACACATCTGTTGAACGTGGCAGGGGCATCACTAAGCCCTTGTGGCATTACTAGCCATTCCCAGAGCATGCCGCTAGGCGTGCTAACTGCGGTATAGGGTATATCCCGTTCTCGCATAAGGATTTGGTAGAAGCCATCCATCAAATCCATGAACGAAAGATGGTACTCTTTGACATACCATCAATGATTACGTCCTTCCTCGGTATCGGCGTCTGAGCCGGTACCGTTGCAGCATTCAACTTGTTAAATGCATGCACAATCCGCCACCCTCCTGTTGCTTTTCGCACACAAAAGGTCGGAGAGCTATGTGGGGAAGTTTATTTTTCTCACATGGCCCGCAGCTAAACGATCGGCAAAGAACTTGTCGATCGCAAGTACTTGTTCACGAGGCAGTGGCCACTGCTTCATGACACAGTACTTCGAGCCTGGTTTAAGCTCGACCTCGTGTCCAATACCTTTATCCTTCGGTAATTCGCACGGAACAGTTTTAGGGAATACATCCTTGAATTCAACCAAATCTTCATAGAGAGGATTTGTATTGAGCGATTCCCACGATTGGGAGTCATATCGCTCAACTCGTGTCTTTTCATCTAGGACACTCTCGTCCATAGATGAACTACTGAGAAGTCTCTCGTTCTCAGTAAACACTGTTGCTGACCTTATGTCGGCTACACACTCGTCGTCAGCGACGAGTACGCAGATCTGCTTGACTTTGCCACTACGCAGATCACGCAAGAACCTTTTATGTTCGAGCGTTGGCAACTGAGTGATCTCCGAAGTCAACTTCGGAGGCGCAATCAGATCAAGTGTACGAGCGCCTACACTTGATTCGTCATTGACTAGGGCATTCAAAGTCTCTGTCATTTCCTGGGGACTTTTCCCCTCAGGCCTAGAAGGACTTATTCCTTCGGCATCCCGGAGACGTATTCCCTCGGGTTTCGGGGAACTTATTTCCGCCGTATTTGTAATATCGGGACTTATTCCCTTAACTTCCTCTAGCTGGGGTTGCGCAACCACAGCGAGATCCTCTACGAAAGACTCTCCAGTCGATCTAGGATTATCGTTTCGCTTAACCTGAGCGATCGATTGTTTCTCTTCTAGATGTTCCCCGCTAGGGATACATTTTTGTCCCGGTCCACTCGACTTATTCGAGTGGTGGACCTTCGGCGCAGCCTGTGTTTCCTCACAGCCGCCGGAACTTTGCTCCGAAGTGTAACCGTTTGTTACACTAAGGTTTTGTGCAGTCGTACTAACGACCGTACCACAAGTGAGGCCATCGCACTCACTCGTAGTACATCCACACGCTTGTAGACGCTCCAAAACGTTCATCAGATGGCCATCTGATGAACAAGCGGCAGGCATCGTTACTGTTCGATGTTGCCAGTTTACCCGTGGTTCGTACCTTCTGAGCCACGGTATTCCAAGGATGACATCAAATTTGTCATCCAAATCCAATACGATAAAGACATCGTCATATTGGGTATCGTCTAGAGTATAGTGGATCTTCGCTTTACGCTTCATGACGGTTACGGATGTGCCTGTCGCAAGACGTACCGTCATCTCGTAGGAGGTGTGTCACATTCACTGAACTTAAAGTGACCATCTTCTAGCGATTGGCGTCGCACAAAATTGTTGGACGCCCCACAATCGACTAGAGCTCGAGGGACAACTTATTCGTCACTTCGAGTTTTAATGTAAAGAGTGAGATCTCATTACCTAGAGCAGCAACGCACAATGTTTGTGTGTTGGTAGCAACCTTCATCAAGAGGCCTACAAATTCTCTTGACGTTGCTGGACCAGTAGGGTGCTCCGCACCTACTGATCCTGTCCGTTTTTTGACGGTCCATCCCGTTGTTGCGTCTTTGGACCAACAGCGGACCCGCGTCCCTGCCCCTTTCTCATGGGTGGACGGTCAATACGCCCAGTGTTGCGAGACACTGGAAGAGGGGCACTACACTCGTAAGCGTAGTGTCCTGTCTTTTGACATCTGTTGCATATCTGCAACTTCTTGTAGACTGTAGAGCGAGCCTTCTCGCTCTCTACATAACAGAGTTCCATCGGCTCTGGACCTCCGCTGTCATGTCGTCTCTGTTGACGATATGATGTCGAGCTGGCGCGAGCCTGTCTCAGACTGAAATCTTTCTGTTCCGCAATGGAAATGGCTTGTTCTAGTGAATCTAGTTCAAGTCAGAACAGTTGAGTCTTGACGGGACCATCCGCAAGACCCTGCATGAACACCGAAACCAACGTGTGTTCATCCACCGGATTGGAACTTATACAACTCGTGAGATGTCGTATATGTTGCGCGTAAGCGTGCACATCACACTTACCCTGTTTGAGCTTCAAGAGTTCGGTTCGAGCCCTGAACTCAGCTCTAGGCGGTTCAAACGTTTGTCTGAGCCGCGACTTGAAGACTTCCAACGACCCAAACGCATATGGGTCGTGCAACTTGAGCCCCAGTGCCCAAGTCTTGGCACGTCCTGCCAGATTTAATTGGGAAAATGAAACTTGCATATCCCCGTCGTCGATGCGACGCGCCCTTATGGCGTCGTCTGATTCGACGAACCATCTCGAGAGGGAGTCCTCTTCGACTCCCCTATACTTGGAGATGTCAATCTTCAAGGTTTCGGGTCGACGCGAGTGCATCGACCCACCAGCAGCAGCCTGCTGCTGTCTCAACAGTTCAAACTGTTGAGCACCCTGTTCTCTCAACAACTCTGCTTGTTGAGAACCTTGTTGGTTAAGCAAGGCTACTTTCTCGCGTTCGGCGTCAAGTTCATTTTGAATGAACTTGGCGATAGTCGCATGTTGGGCATCTCTATTGAGAGCCACTAGCATGACGCTAACAGCATGGATCCCCATGGTTGAACCCATCCGTTCAACCGCATCCCTCTCGACATCGCTCAAATGGGAGTAGCCGTCACGCGTAGCGTGGAAGCTTTGGTCATCTTCATCATCCAACATATTCATGTTGGATGTGAACGTGGTCCTTGGACGGACTACGAAGTGCTACCAGGTGTAACGGGGCACCCTGAAGCTTGTACTGATGACAGTACAAGCTACTTATTCCGATGACAGAATAAGGCGGTGCCGCGTAACTTCACGTACACTCGTACGTGCAGAGGAAGGCGGTAAGAAGAAGCGAGTACTTGGTTAAAGTAAAAAGTAGAAATGTATTTATAATAGTTAATGTCTGCAATAAATCACTATTTATCTTCATCTAACTATGTCTAAATACAAATGTGTATATCAACTATCTGCTCACCACTCATTGCGTGCGTCTGTCGTGGCGCGTCTTCGTTTGTTGATATAATGGCCTATATCAACCAATTAGGAACTACTCGTAAGTGCTACAGAATATTTGTCCTTATGACAATATTCTGAGAATACAACTCTTATAGTTATATTCTATTAACAATTTCTTATAAATTGTTATGCAACGATTCACCCCGTTACACATAAGGTACACACTGCATCTACGAAAAAAAGCAGCGGATGCAATATGTAGTAGTTGACAGTCGTTCTCTGCCCGTTGTGCTATCCGTCGGATCCTAGTATCAGTTTGAGAGTTTCCATGGTCTTGACGTTCATAGCGCATACAGAGACGAGGAACCAACCGACGAAGAGCTCCTTGAACGTGCGTACGCAGCGACACACCTTTAGAAATCCACCGACATCACCCAGTTCATGAACACGCAAAAGAATCATGTCGTTCATGCAGTTACCAAATTGCTACTTGGGTGTGGATCGTGCGCTTGCTGGACGGTCACCATTCACTTCTTTCTATTGCACTCTCCATGTGCTTGGTCCATGTAAACAATTCCATCACGAGTTGACTTCGTCATGCACTATGGTGAACAAATGAAAAAGTGTCTGCCAGTCGAGTTCACCAGCGATTGTACATGTTGCGAGCATGTGCGAAAAAAGATGCTTCCGCCGTGCGGATTTCTGTACCAAGGACGAGAACTCAGTCGCTGTGTACTTCATCATTGATACACAAAAATACGGGCGACGCCAGTGGAGTGTGGAAGAAGGTGTCGCCTAGCGCTATTTTGTACGTGCAAGGGCACCGTGCTTTTCTCATGAAACGCCGGTCGTCTAATTATTGGCTGCAAATCGCGCTTCACATCTCTGACTTTGCGTGTCAGTTTTCGTCCAAAATCCTGCAGCAGTTTCACCACAAGAAGCAAAAGTCGCCGGTTGGCTGCAGTTCCGATGAAGGTCATCAAACCTGAGTCGACGCTGTATTTGGACCGCGAACGTCTCACGCGCTGGGCGTACCTGGCCATTGCCGCACTTACTCTGTACATTGTGGAGCGTGCGAAGAATAACAAGATCCCGCGTGAGGTAAGAAGTGCAGTACTGACTGCAGCGATGAGCGCAATGCTGAACTCTGAATGATGTGTGCAGAACTTCTTCGGCATGGCGATCTCTCTGCTACCCTCAGAGCTATCACACAAGATGGCAGTCGTGCACACGTGTCTCGCAGGGTACCTGCTACAGAAGAAGATGCCGATCTTTTCGCACTGGAGCGGTGCTATTGCAGGGCTGATACAGTGTCTAGTAGCTGCGAACCTCGTCAAGTCGTTTCGACGAAATCTTGCCTCGAAGGACTTCATTCGTGACGCGCTCATTGATTCGGACATTACACCGGAAAAGTTACAAGACGTGGGTCAAATGACGCTGAAGCGATGGATCAGCGTCTTGTTGCCATTGCCACAGCCCTTGGCTGTTTCACTGAGCTACTTTGGCGTGAAAAAAGTTCGCACAGTTGCTTACGCACATGTTGGCAAAACGAGAACCCAGAAATTGCTCATGGACGTGTACGAGCACCGAGACAAACCACCCGATGCACCAATTTTTCTCTATATCCATGGAGGAGGCTGGATCATCGGTGATCGCCGTATTGCACCGTTCTCTTGTGTGTACCAGGTGGCCTCATTGGGCTGGATCGTGTGCGTCATCGACTATCGGCTATCCCCCAAAGTGGCCTTCCCCACTCACTTGATCGACTCGAAGCGTGCTGTTGCGTACTTACGCCAAAACGCACGCGCAGAATTCAATGCCAACCCAGAATTTATTGCTGTAGGCGGTGAGTCTGCCGGTGGCCACTTGGCAAGCTTGTTAGGACTCACGGCGGATGACAAGTCGTTGCAACCCGGTTTCGAAGACGTCGACACGAGTGTACGCGCAGTTGTCGACAACTACGGCGTCCACGACTGGACTGATCGACATGGCATCTACCACTCTCGTAACAAAAGTGACGCTCTTGTTCACTATATCGAGTTTTTCGTGATGCAAAAGAAGCTCAAGAGCAACAAGGAGGACTTTGAGCGCGCATCACCCATTTCTTACTTGTCCGACGAAAGCGCCGCCTGTCGTCGAGATGTTGTACCGCCTTTTCTGGTCACGCACGGCACCCACGATAACACCGTCTTGTTCCAGGACTCGCGGCTGTTCTTTGATCGCTTGGTCCGCTACCGCCAACATCTTCCTCCGGCCATTCGAGCATACCAAGATAAACAACTCGGTGGCGTGCTAGATATCTTCATCAAGGTGCCCTTTGCGGGTCACATGTTCAACTTCCTCCTCTCTCCTCGAGCGCTCGCGCATGGTGACGCTGTTTGCGCCTTCCTTGACAACGTGTTCAAAAAGACCAGGGATGTGCCACTAGAAGCTCGACTGTTTCCTAGCCACGTCGAGGAAAATACTGTCGTTTCGTTGGATGAGGAGGAGGCACTGTCTGCGGTTGCATTGTCAAGGTTGTAGAGGCACACAAAAATACCAACTTGTGGATAAATAGTCACATCAACGTGCTAAGTCTTACCATTAGCTTTAAGACGCGCATGAAACATGAATAATTCGTCGGGGTACTTCAATCTGGCAAAAACCTGCGCGTTGTCTACACGGGAGACCTCTTTAACATCGAACTTCTGTCCAAGTTGCAGCAAGAAGTTAGCTTCAATCGTCGCCTTACGTGTCTCAAAGCTAAAGAAAACATCCGTGGTGGGAGATACTAATGCCCTCAGCGTTTGAATCAGCGCTGGTATGCCGAGTCATGGTAAAGCACGTCCGAAAAGACTACGACGTCGACACTTTTTGCCCACGACTTCAGAATGCCACAAGACTCGAATGGCTCTCCCCACTGACACTTTTCCACCACCGGCGCAGTAGCAACTACACGCGCCTGACTTGAATCGGCACTACTAAAGTTCACGGCCACGTTCTTGGCCAGTAGAGGTAGCACGTAGTCCTGATCCGTGAGCGCTACTTGAGCCCCCAGCACAGCCAGCGTCATGCCGACGAGTCCCACACCAGCGCCAAGTTCGACCACTCTCTTGCCTTGAAACTGGAACCGACCGTCACCTCCAAGACCAGCTGCTAGCTCGCAGCATCTGGTCTGCAAGTAGTCGGCCAAAAGTAAAGCGGCGTCCCAGACGCAGTGGCCGTGCGACGGAAACGCCGGTGTGCCCGCACAGGTTTCTCGTTCCTGCACTGCCTTTAGAATCACTGGCTGACTGGTGCCAGGAATTGTCACCGCATACGAAAACTCGCGCTCGTCTGCGCGTCCCCATAAATTCGTGCCCGAGTCGTCTGTGTCGCTCATTGACGAGCAAATGTTTGAACAAAATTTCGATGCAGATTTTGTAGAGACCATTCAGACACAGAGGAGTGGACAACACACTTGGGGAGAACAACAGTCCGTGGGGAAAATGGGAAGTTTACTCATTCTTATAACACCCAAATATATGTATCCGGGTAAAATTGATTTAACCTCGCATCACTCTTCGTCTTGTGTCATTCGCGACAGTGACCGTCAAATCATCACGATGATGAACCGTCGCCTGATGTTCCGCCTACAACACTCCTCCTCGACGATTGGTTTCCAAAGTTGGCCTTGGCCACGAGAAACTGAAACTTCTTCGTCGAGATAGCCCTGGTCACAAAGTTATAGCGTACATCAATGTGCTTCGCACGACTGTGATATCCTTCATTTTTCGCGATCGCAATCGCACTTTGATTTTCCTCGTTTACAACGAATGGACCATCATAATTGACCTAGATCTCCAGCGATAAACTTTTTGACTACAACACTACCTGAATGCACAACGAAAGTGCCACATTGAAAGGTTAGCCTCCGTTACATGATACTGCTCAAAAGGCAATTATCAAGTATGAGTAAAGTGTTAGGACAAACACAATATTCTCACAATAAAATCCTGATAGGTATTATTGCTACGCAGATGTAGCACACTGCCCATTGGTCGATATAGGATCGAGGTACTAACCAAAAAAGTCTAGCCACGACAGAAGCACGCAATGAGTGTTGCGCACATAGTCACAATTCATTTTGTATTCAGACATAGTTCAACGAAGCCAAATAGGGATCTATTAAGATATTAACTACACTAAATGCATTTTAACTTTTTACCTAAACTGATTACTCTTACTCCGTGTAGCAATCTTCCTCTACCACGTACGTGAACGTGAGGATGTCGGACGCATACGCCCTTGCACTGCCAGCAGTGCAAATTTTATTCATTTAGCTGAATAAGGTATGTCCCGTTACGCACATATTCGTCTTGCGCTGTACTTAAATACACACTAAGTTGTAAATTCAACTTGAAAATGACTGGAGAGTTGTTAATTATTACCATCACGCCTGGTTCTGATAATCCTTGTTACCATCCAGTCAGCATCACTATATTTACTCATCTTTAGCAGCCTAGCCTTGTCCCGATAGCAAATACCACTTAACAGGTCGACTTAAGAAAACAAAGCACGCGAATAGCCGCATTCCAGTGCTCCCCGTTAAAAATTTTAATGTGGTGACTTGTTTGAAGCACTGCGAACGCAATGGATGGTCTAATTCAAGTTGCCAAATACCGAAGTGACGCCACCAGAGATTAAATTCGGCGATTCTCTGTGGTAGAGTAGGTTTTTCTCATTTTATGAAGTGATCCCGACTCTCCGCTGGCGCCCAGACAACCGACTAACGGAGGGGGTACTCCGATTCCGCTTGCACTTGTTTCCTTCTCACCTTTTGTACCCGACGATAGGTCGGTTGCACTCTTTTAGGTGAACCTGACTCGATGCTGAACTTGACCATGTAAAAGATTGGTGCCGATCGGGTGGAAATTGACCCGATCGCGTGTTCTTGGTTGGCGCTCTCCTTGAGTTGCCGGGATCAGCCTTGATCGCCTTGTGCCAAAAATGGGTAATTGAGTTGGAAGCCTTCTAAACACTTGAGCCGTCTCGCGATCTTGCACCGTAACCAGTAACGTTGCCTGCGTTCGATCGCAGTTGAGGGGTGTGAGAGTCCTTGCACTCCTGGCCAAATAGCTCCAGGAGTGATCTTCCTGCCCTTGGTGTACAAGCTATCTGACGTCGGGAGGCCAAAATATCCAACCCGGAAGAAGAACGACACGTGTGTGTTCAAAAGCAAATTGAACTCTCCTTAATGTGAACTAACCGAAACCAAAAATTATAACCACGCCTACTCCGTAATTTCAGGATTTAGCGCCACGTGTCTTCTCCATGCTGAATGGATTTTCAATCCTTCTACATCATGTGGTCCACGGCTGATCGCGGCCCTCCGATCGCGGCCCTCCAATCGCGGTCCCTTTATTTGTCTACATTATGAGACCGTGTTAATTAGATGGGGTTGATCCCGTTAGATCCTCCCAACGGTAGCATCCACCTAGCTGGCTATCATCCCACAAGCTTTTCAGCCAAATTACCTCGTACTTAGCTGAATCACCAAGGCTTTTAAACCCGATCTCGATCAACTCTACCACAATCGCCCCCTGCACAAATGGCCGATCCACAACATCCGTCTGGCTTGTGCACGTCTTCTGTCGTCATTTACGCTTTACCGTTAATCATGGCTGCCACTAACATGGCGATTATGAGCGATTCGAAGCGTTACAAGTCAAGCTTCGAATCGCTCATAATCGCCATGTTAGTTACGTTTTATTGCCAAAATCCACTTGGTTCCAATTAATTTTTTGTTTGTTAATTCTCCACTGCTGTCCATCCCCTCTTTTTCATACATGTCTTCAATTCGTTCTTAATCGAATCACTCCACATCTTGGATTGAGTAGATGCCATTGCGTCTTGGCATGTCGATAAGGTCTTGAACGCTGCACTTGATTGATCATACTCGATACAATGTATTGCGGCGGACGAGTCTCGGGTTAAGTTACTAAACGATAATTTAAGTATGTTCGACATCCCAACCAAAAGTGAAGATTTATATTCTTATTAGATGGTGGTAGCGCAAGCAAGGCATTTTTTTCACTGTGTTGGGATTTTGGCACGCCTTTAAATTCATTGAATTCATGAAAGTCGCCCTTGGTCACAATGTTCGAAGGCGCATCCACATCAAGGTCGATTGGAATCCACGTTGAAATCGACAAAATCGAAAGCAGGATCCGGCACACAACAAAAATCCCGGCGTGGATTAAAAACTTAAATTCACTTGTTAGTAAAATTGCTTGATTGGTGTCAGCCTGATCCAAAATCATCGGTTCAACGTCACTATGAGAACACATAAAATTAGTTACACGTTGTCTGTGTCTTCATTATCATTGTTATTCAGACGTGATGCATCAGGTAAACTTCCAATTACTAGAACTTTGGCAGATCTAGTGCAGTCAATGAAAGCGTGCGCTCCAATTTGTCGGAATCGAATTTCCAAATGCGATATCCATAGACATGATGTGAGTACCGATAAATGCAACGAAATAACCATTTCGATCTTGACGCATTTATCTTTGCAATGTGAGCATAACCTCTTGTATTAAGTACTCGCTAGTGAGACAGACCTAGCATCATTCCAAAACACACTTCGACTGGGGTCTTGGTCAGAAAGAAGAGCACATGCCTCTTTTAGTCACATTTAGTACAGTATTCATCGCTTCTGTCAACCGCTTCTCCTCATCTTGCATGTGATCTAGCATTGACCTTGCCCGTTCAGTCAGTGTTCAATTAAGTCTTTAAATAATTCCTTTTTGTTGCGAAGAGTACGGCACTGGTGCTTATTGTACTACTTTGGCCTTTCTCTTAACTTTTGCAAGTTGCTTAAAACTACATTCACTACCAAGTTCAATACAACACTCTTGATCTTGGCGCTCAGCTCGTTAACATCATAGGCACGTAATCGATGAAAATACCTACCACAATGGACTTGTGTGCGATATATTAGGCACCCACATAGCAGGATTGATAGTCAAAAAATGTCATCACAAATCTGGCTCCTCATTGCAACTTGGTATATATTGACCCCACGTTGGCTCACCACCAGTTTCTTTACTTACGTTCGTAATTCCGATGTATCATAGTTCAGCAGGAACAATCTACCCTTCTGAGTCTTTTATGCTACCACTTCTTGATCAATCCTGATCGCACACGTTCTGTTACGGAGGTTAACTGATGTAAAAAAAAATTTCATACAATGCAGGAATTAACATAAGATGACGATTCAGCTATAAAAAAGTACAAAATGTCTTCAATACAAATCTTTATTGTATTCTTCAAGACGACAAGAAGTGTCTCGATTCCAGCAACCATAATTGTTTCACCATTTATGATTAAAAAACTTAACAGATCTATTGAGCGATCTGATCGCTACAAAGTTATCTCGAATTGGACAAATGTAACTTCTCGCACCACTGTCAAGTAAATAACCAAACAGCCATCTTTACCTACGATGAAAACTTGTTTGGAATTCCTTTTCTTCTCTGCATTATTTAGCAGTATTGTTTCTTGTTCCATACTTGCCGCGTACGAAACACGTCCCGAAGAACTTGTTCTTTGCTTCTTTTGGCCAAATGTTCTTGTTCGTATAGTTACTTTCGCCTTTAACGCATTTTTACTCTTTTCCTTCTGAGCAATACCTTCGTATTTACGACGGAGCATCTCTTTGGCTTTAAATTGATCAATTTTACTCACGTTTTCAATGATTTGAAGATCTGATTACACTTACCAGACAATTTTTTAATACCGTATTACAAGTCGCCCATCGTGAGCATCTTCGTATCCGATGGCCTGCATCGGCAAAATCAACTCACCTGGTAAAAGAAAATGGTCCATCACACATACATTCTTCTTCATCTTGAACTCCATAAGCTGTCGACGCATCTGCACTCGATTGTATACTCTTATGCAGAAAGAAGCTCTTCGAAATCCCCCCAGCTTCTGCCGTAGTCGCCGCATTCCAAGAAATGGGTTGAAGACTTGGGCTGATCATCGTACGAGCTTTTGCGAGGGCCTCTACATCGTTGTCTTTCCATATAGCCGCGTTAGATTCATCTTTTATTGGCGCCTTCTTCGCGTCGATGTGCTTTAATAGCCCTTTCTTGGCAAGCTCTATTAGCGCATTATACTTCCATACGAAGTAGTTTTCATCGTTGAGAATATGGTCGAGCCACCTGTACTTGGAATTATAGCCAGTAAAGACTACGTAGACACAGAGGAGTGGATAAAACACTTAAAGAGAACTCCAGTACGTAGAAAAATGGAAAGTATATACATTCTTATAACACTTAAATATGTGCATCTGGTTATAATATAATAAACCTCGCATGGCTCTTCCTCTTGTGTCAC